TTAATCGTGCACATCGCAGTGCCCACGCTGCTTAGACTTCTCATTTAAACTGTGAAATAGACCGCTCATCAACTCTGGTGCCTCAACACGACGACTCAAGCTCACACGTGCGCGAGTGCCGACCGCCACGTGTCTCACCGGCTCACGGGCGACTCACCACACGAGGAGGGCAATTTATATAATTGTCGCTTGACTTCAACGATCATATAGAGACGTCTCATTTATACACCGCTCATCGATTCTCAGGTCAGACTGTAACAATTTCGATACATTAAAGACGGCTCAGACTGTGGTCTGAGTTACACAAAATAAAGTGCATATTTAGTTAACACCTTCCACGCGCGTCCTTCTCATCCCGCTTCCATCGCCGGGATTAATCAGCGATTTCGCGAACATTTGGTCCTTCGAGCCAGATGCGTGGAAATTAGAGTGTAACTCAGACACAGATCATGTGAACAGAGCATGCCTTTCACGACATGCCACGTGGACATTATCGCGCGCTTTCGCGAGTGAAGGACAGACATTCTCACGCGCGCTCGCAAGTGTTACGAAAATATGCTCACGCGCTCCCGCGAGTGTAAATAGACATTTTCACATGCTCAATACATGACATTGTAGACTCTCGATTCGCGTAGTGTTGTCTTAACGCGTTTCTCGAACGTTCTCGCCTCTTGCAGTGTTTCTCATACGTGTCTCGACGATTCTCAGGTCTCTTATCGGGCGCAGCTCATTGACGTCTCATCATGCCGGATCCCGCCAAAGCCGCGACGGGCGGCAAGACCCCGCCATTGCTCGACCTGCCGGACGACAAGCGCACTTCAGATCGGCAGGCCTCACCGGTGCGTTTGTCGGCGGAACTCACGTTAAAGGTGCAGACACAAATGAACCGCATCGCGACAGTGCGGAAAATCGGCGAGACGTTGCCATCGACTCCAGATGACACGTCAGTGGATGAGGTCCTGCAGATTTCGATCCAGCTCGAGGAAGTGCACAAGGCATTCCTCAAGGAACACGCCTATTTCGAGGTCTCATGGCCGGCGGCGCTCATTTCTCACGAGTATTTCTCAAAAAACGCCTTCGCCGTGGAGGCGGAAGAGTGTATGACGACTCGTCGCTTTTTGGCAAAGCTCAAGGGCGCATTGGCGGAAAAGATCGCTCCAACGACAGCTCCTGTAGCGGCGCAGCCCTCACAGTCTCAGCAGAGATTGCCGGACATCAGCATCCCGTCCTTCAAGGGCGTGTACGAGGCATGGCCTACGTATCGCGATCTCTTCAAGGCGGTTATTTACGACAGCCAACGGCTCACAGACGTGGAGAAACTCCACTATCTGCGGTTCTCACTGGAAGGCCCACCGGCTCAGCTCATTTCCGGTTTGCCTCTCACCGGCGACTCGCTCAAACCATCCTGGGAAATGCTCGTCGATCGCTACGAGAACAAGCGGCTGCTCATTCAGTCTTATCTGGACCAGCTCTTTGCCAGCTCAACCCCGATGCAGAAGAGTGCCAAGGCACTGGACAAGCTGCTCAACACGTTCAAGGAGGGCATTAAGGGCCTACAATCCTTGGGCGTCTCGCAGGATCTCGGCGACTGCGTCCTGGTGTACCAGTTGTCTAGACAGCTGGATCGCCAAACCAAGGAGCAGTGGGAGACATCGTTGGGCGCCGCGCGCGAGTATCCGCGATTCGAGAAACTCGAGCAATTTCTCACCTCGCGAGCACGAGCACTCGAGATGATCAAATCAACGGCCAGCTCAGGAAACTCGGCAGGGGCTGCTTCCACAACACGGCGCTCCTCGACGGCTCCTCATGCGGCAGCTCAACCGGCACGCACCAATACATCAGACGGCTCAACGGAGTACCCGTGCGACTGCTGTAACGGCACGCACTTCGTGGTGATGTGCCCTAAGTTCAGGGAATTCTCACTGGGCGATCGACAGAAGCTAGTCATCTCAAGGAGGCTGTGCTTCAACTGCCTCGGCCGTCACAACGTTCGCTCATGCAAGAGCTCACGGGGGTGCAAGAAGTGCACCCACCGACATCATACGATGCTGCATGAGGCACATCAGAGCGACTCATCCTCGAAGCCAACCACCAGCTCAGCCTCAGCACCCCAATAGGACAACGGTGCAATCGTCGCTCACTCATCTTTGGCTCGCTCATCACACTCAACATTACTCGCTACGGCCCTGGCTCAGATCAGCTCATCGGTTAATACTCAGCACGTACGGCTTCTCATCGATACAGGTTCTGAACTTACCTTTGTCTCAGAATCGCTCATTCGTCAGCTCAACATACCTCGTCATCATTCTGTCATTTTCATCACCGGAATTGGTGGCGGAAAGTCCACGCAAACTCGAGGAGTTGCATTCCTCAAGCTCCGCTCACTTCGCTCAAAATCAGACGTCATCATTCAAGCTCACATTCTGCAGACGTTAACAAACATCTTGCCATCATTCAACGCAGCACCACAGGAATGGCCGCATCTCACCAAGTTAGCCTTGGCTGATCCAGATTTTCTGACATCACGGCCAGTGGATATTATCATTGGAGCTGACTCATATGGGCAGATCATCAAGCCCAACATCATCAAACAAGATACATTGATGCCAATTGCGCAGCTCTCAATTTTCGGATGGCTCGTTCTCGGACCTGTCGACACATCATCATCAGCATCTGTTGCAGTGCATCATGCATCGATTTAGGAGAGGGAAGATGCTCTCGACGAATTACTGTCGAGATTTTGGACACAGGAAGAAGTGCCTGCGAGCAACAATCTTGAGCTTACTCCTGACGAGCAAAGATGTGAAGAACATTTCAAGAGTACTGTCTCACGGGATTCAACAGGTCGATACGCAGTTCGACTTCCACTAAAATCATCACCTGATACACTTGGCGACTCGTATCTCACTGCGCATCGATGTTTGCAAAGTTTACAAAGGAGACTCTCCCGAGATGATAACTATCGACGTCTGTATCATCAATTTATGACAGAATATCGAGATCTCAACCACATGAAGAAAGCTTCACCCGTTTCCAGTCAGCAAACGCAATACTACTTGCCACATCACGGAGTGCTCAAACCAGACAGTGCAACCACGAAATTACGTGTGGTATTCAATGGCTCGAGCGCATCCACATCTAGCCGCTCACTTAATGATATCATGCACACGGGAGCCAAGTTGCATTTAGACGTCACCGATGTCTTGCTCTGGATTCGACAATTTCGACACCTAGTTGCCACGGACATCACCAAGATGTATAGACAAATCAACGTGCATGAAGATGACTGGAACTTACAACGGATTCTCTGGCTCGACGAACTGCTCAATGAAGTGGCATATTATCTAACTACGGTCACATATGGCACCAAGGCTGCCCCGTTCTTGGCAGTGCGAACGCTGCTGCAACTGGTGAAGGACGAAGGCCATAATTTTCCTCTTGCAGTGCCGTCCATCCTTCAAGGTCGATACGTCGACGACAGCTTTGGAGGCGCTGACACTGTCCAACAGTTAATCAAAATTGCATTGCAGCTGAAGAACTTGTGCATGGCGGGCGGTTTTCCATTGGCCAAGTGGCACTCGACTCATCCAGACGTGCTCACGGTTCAAGCAGACAAAGACCAGGGCTCACAAATTACATTTGACGATTGCGCAACCAAGATACTCGGATTACGATGGCTTCCTCAAGAAGATTCATTCGCATTTGCAACAAGGATCTCATCGCATACCGATCATCTCACCAAACGCCTCGTTTTGTCTGAAGTGGCTCAGATATTCGATCCACTAGGCTTTGCATCACCAGTCGTGATCAAGGCGAAGATGCTCTTGCAAGAGCTTTGGCTTCATAAGCTCCAATGGGATGAACCACTGCCATCCCAGCTCTCATCACGGTGGCTCATCATCAGAAAGGAACTCACCAGCTTGCGCAAGATCTCAATACCTCGGTGGTATAACACATGGAGTACATCGACAGTAGAATTTCACGGCTTTTCTGATGCTTCTCAACTGGCAATGGCTGCAGTCGTATTTATCACCGTCTACGGCTCAAATAGCGCCACGATTTCATTGGTGTGCTCCAAAATAAAGGTAGCACCGCTCAAGCGGCTCACCATCCCGAGACTTGAACTCA